TTATTAGAATCAATTAGATTAAATGGCTTTCCTCTTCTGTTTATTATAATTAATTGAATTAAATAACATTATTTTTCTATTTATTCTCCTGAGTGTATATATATGTAATGATTCCAAAGAATAAATTTAGATTAAATTTATCCTAAACAATTTCTTTAGCTATTTATTATTTTTGCAATCTCTTCTTTCTTTCTTCACATTTTTCCTTGGACCACACAATACTCTTCATGAATGTATTGTGTTTTAAGATAAATACGCTATTTAATTGAATATTTTATCAGTTAGAAACCTTGCACTCCCAAAATCTTGCCAAAGACTTGCTTTTCATGGAGTTGAGGTGCAAAGTGTCGACCTTTTTTCTTTTCTATTCCTTCTTTGCAGTTTCTTGAGGAATAGGTTAGAATCTTCCATTCTAAATAATTAGCCCATTCAAAGAAAATTAATTATTTACTAGAGAATGGCAAATATATTTTTGTTGTTATAAGAATCCTTCAAATATTTCATTTTTGTCACACTAATCTTTAGTTCGAACGGAGGCATTGCTCTCTTATTTGCAGCAAACTTTATCTATTTATGAAATTTATTTGTAATCAAAGAGCACATTGACACCCTGCAGAAGATAAAGGAAAATAATATACAGGTGTGCAAGCTTAAGATGCATAGATAGAGACGTAGCAATATGAATACGACACGACACAGATATGGGACATGTCAATTATTGAAAAGATAGGACACTGATGATTTGGAGACTGCATTATAATTTTTATATTTTAAAAATAATACAAAGAAATTAAGCAATCATAATATTAAGAATAATAAAGAAATAGTAAGCCATTGAACTCTAACATTAGTTTTAGTAAAGATGGTCTATAGATAATTATTTATCTTAAAGTAAAGAAAATTATAAGCCTAAACTGAATTCAATAGTCAATAATTCACAAAAAAGAATAATAGAATTAACTACTTTATTATGTATGTCTTTGGCCTTTAATATCATCATCATTAAATATTATATATAAAATGAGATTATGCTAGACGATAGCACTGTCAACAATAAAGTTTAGACGATATTGGGCATTGTCATTGAGATGCGGAGATTCAAGGGCCGTGTGGTGAAAAATGGGCATGATTGATTGGGGGATGTCGCAAGCCGCCTTCAAGCATCGTTGGATATGCATAAGACACTGTCGGGCGTCATCATTAAGCCTTCGAAGTAAAACCCTAGCCTTGCTTGGTGAAATATTTAGGGGATGCCGGATATAGGGCGACTGTAGCATAAGACATTTACTTTAAATGAATATAATTTTTAAAGAAATTAAAATTAAAAAAAATCATATTTTAAAACAAATTTTTAACAAAATATTTAAGACATGAGTGTAGTACCCATGTGTACAATTTTTTAAAAATACTTTAATTGGACACGCCTTTACTATGCTTGTTACGTGAACAGGGTGTTTCATACATGTGTTCATTTCGAACATATGTCACACATATCGAACACTACATACCTCCTTAGAAGGATTGTGATAGGAAACACTTGTAGATCTCAAGTATTTCCTATCAATTTTCGAAAAACTGCGAGCTTTCTCCATCAAAATCCACACAAAACCACAAAAACAATAGATAATTTGTATTATTTGATGAAATAGAAATGGAAAATAGCAATATACAGTTGATCCTCAATTTGAGAGGATGATCGATCTCTCCCAAATCTCTAGACGCGCCCAAAGAAAAACCTAAATCCAAGAGATCTCAAATTTCAGCCAAATTCAATATGCCTTACCCCTAGGAAAATAAAGTATTTAATGCATACAAATCAAAAGGAAATCCCTAAACAGTCCCTACATTCAAATTTCCCTCCCAAATACCTAAAAAAGCCTTCCTAAAATGCTCTGTTAGCTCCCGCGGTGCGTGCGGCTAAAGAAGGAGGCAGAGGCTTCCACCTCGTTCATGCCTGGGTCGATCCCGCGTGGACAGGCTGGACCAGTCCAATGGACTGGTCTTACAATACTCTCCTCCCAAAGATGCACCTTGTCCTCAAGGTGGAGATATGCTCGTGTTCCCGTGGAGGTGGTCATCCTTGAGGTGGCTAAAAATCCTTACCAAATTGCTGAATTAAGGGCTACACTGAAAGAGAAACATCCCCTCCCTCCTCCATCCTGATCACATCCAGCTTATGTAGTCCCACCAGATAATCTTCCCCCACCTCTTGTAGGCTCTTAACCATGGTCTTAAGTGATACCATGGCTTTGGACAGCACTACATCTCCCCTTATAACCACCTTTCTCCCATCCACCGTTAATTTCATTGTGACTGCTCCCCAATTGTCCTTGGTTTGCCGCAAGATTTGCAACCATTTCATTCGCAGAATGACATCAGTACTTCCTAACTCTAGTGGGAGAAAATCCTCCCTTACCTGAATTACCTGGATGGTCAACACCACTCCTCTACAGACCCCTTAGCCTTTCTCCACCTTCTCTGTACCCATCATCACCCCATAATAACCGGTGTCCACTATTTCACTCCCAGTTGGTTGACGATCTGAGTAAAAATGAATTTATGGGTAGCACCACTGTTAATCAATACTGCCACCTCCATGCCTGTTATTTCCCCCTTCACCTTCATAACATGATTCGAAGTGAATCCACTGAATTCAGAGAGACCTCCGCCATATCCAGATGCAACTTTTCATCCATTTCTCTCTCACCTCCCTCCTCAGTTTCCTCATTATCACACACGGTGAGAAGCTGATATGCCCTGGAGTATACTTCTCATCACAATGGAAAAATAACCCTTTCACCCTCTTCTCCTACATCTCCTTCTCTATCAGCCTCTTGAAATTTTTCGCACTCCCTCCTTCAACTGGTTTCTCCCTGGTGGTCTCATTATGTTGCCTGATGCAAGCCCCTTGGGTGCTAAAAGAGTGGTCATCGTCCTGTAAGAGCCTCTTGAGCTGCTGTTTCTGGCTCCCTTCTCTAGATTCTTCTGATTTTCCACCAGCTGTGTCAACTTCAAGGCTTCCCCCAAGTCACGAGGCAACAGAACTTTCAATGTCGCTCTGACCTCTGCCTTCAGCCCCTTCATGAAGTTCCCCTCCAATACCATATTTGATAATCGCTCCACCTTACTGGCCAGGTGCTCAAACCGTTCACGGTAGTCTGTTACTGATCCCTCCTGCACCAGAGCAAAAAACTGCTCATATAAATCTCCTACCTAGTCGATTTGGAAATGTTCTACAATACAATCTTTGAATTCTCACCAACTCCTGATGGGTCTCCTCTGGTCTCTCCACTGGTACCATCATAGCGCTTTCCCCTCCAAGCATAAGCATGTTGTTGTCAGCTTCTCCTCCTATATTAACCCATTAATAGAGAAGTACCTCTCCACCTTATAATTCCACCCATAGGCATCATCCCCTTCTAATATGGGTATCTTCAGCTTCCTCACCTTCTGATCTCCCCTGTTTCCCCTTATTCCTTCCGTAACTTCCCCTCTCCCAAGTGTTTGGCCCTCCCCATGTCTTTCGGTCTTCCCTTGCCCTGTCATACCCATAACTTCCTTTGAATTCCCCTCCTCCCTTCAAAATCAGCCCCTCGCCGGCCATAATTTCATTCCTTACGTTCCCAATCAGCGCCCCGTTGCTCCTGCCCTCCATACCCATGCCTTTCCCCAAACCTATCTCCTTTATCCTTCCTCCGGAAAGGCTCTAGATGGGGTCTTCTCCTTTCTCCCTCTACAATCTCTATCTCCTCTTCATCCTAGCGGATTATAGAATTTGTATTTTGTCCTTCTAGCCCTCTCGCCATGCAAGCCACTGATTGATTGTGGAATTCTAACATCTTCTTCATCATCTCCCGTAAGTCCGCAACTTGCCCTTCCATGGAAGAAATTCTGTCCTCCACCGTAGTTTGATTTGATTCATCTCTCCTTCCGATCTTTCTTCTAGCGCATCAACTTTCTTGGCCGTCATCTCTATTCGGATCTTTGTAGATTAAAAAAAATCTGGATTTGGATCACAAAAACAGCAACTTTATGCTTCCTCTGCCCAAAAATCAGCCGCTGAAATTTGTCAAAATCAGCCCCCCAACGGTCCCAAGACTTGCTCTGATACCAATTTGATAGGAAACACTTGTAGATCTCAGGTATTTCCTATCAATCTTCAAAAAACAACGAGCTTTCTCCACGAAAATCCACACAAAACCACAAAAACAATAGATAATTTGTATTATTTGACGAAATAGAAATGGAAAATAGCAAGATATAGTTGATCCTCAATTCGAGAGGAAGATCGATCTCTCCCAAATCTCTAGATGCCGCTAGAGTCCAAAGGAAAACCTAAATCTAAGAGATCTCAAATTTTCAGCCAAATTCAAGATGCCCTAACCCTAGGAAAATAAAGTATTTAATGCATACAAATCAAAAGGAAATCCCTAAACAGTCCCTACAATCAAATTTCCCTCCCAAATCCCTCAAAAATCCTTCATAAAATGCTCCGTTAGCTCCTGTAGTGCGTGCGGCTAAAGCAAGAGTGGAGGCTTCCGCCTTGTTCGCGCCTGGGCCAGTCCAGCGTGGACCGGTTGGACCGGTCTAACAGATTGTCGGTGCACCATACTACCATAGTTGTAAACAAAAGTTCAAGCAGATAAAAAGAATTTAAAAAAGTTATTTCCAAATATATACTGGAAGACCTGAAAGAAAAGCTTCAAAGCAAATAAGCCAAACATGATATACATCTGCCATGAAATAGTATTCACTCAGCTGGAAATGCATATCAATTATGACTAAAAGACTATAAGAAGACAAGATAAGAACCATAGATTATTGCAACTCCTTAATTATGTCGACCAGCAGAATAAAGTATCCTCAAACTCACAGTAACTAAACTAAAATTATCATTTCACCACATGACGGCAGAGACAAAATATCACTACCATTCATGGAAAACATTGCAAGGAAGCATATATCTTAGAAAATTATTTCAAATAGGAAAGAAACCTTACACGTCTGCAAATCTTGTGCCTCCTTCACCTCTGATTCTAAGTTGTCTGTCCCAACCAGGTGGTGGTTGAGCAATGTTAGGTTTATCAATGGCCCAAAGCCTACTTCCATCTTGCAAAATGTCTGGCGGATCATCACAGGAAATATTGGGTCGCCATTCCCGAGCTCGTTCACATACAAAAGGTACTTGTAAAATACTTTCACGTATTTGTTCATATTTCTCTTTCGTTGGAATAAGCCTCCACTTAAAGCATGATGCACATTGAACAGTAAATGCCCCAACAGATGGAAGACTGCGGCTAGAAGAATTTGGTGCTACAGAGTTCAATTGTACAGGATGATCCAAATTATTGGAAGCAGGGTGCAAATCTTCACCAGAGCTGGAACCAGTTTTAAAAACAACCAATTGGTTTGCAGAAGCCCCACTGATTTGCGCATTGCTATCCTCAGCATCAGTCTTCTTATGATCGCGTGACTTCTTTTGACTTCTTACCAGAGGTCGGGATGAAGTAGGAAATTCTTTTTTAACCATTGGTGACTCATCTCCAGAATCTGATGGCATCAACATAGACAACCAAGTAAACTGTACCATAGAAAAAAGCACAATAATGAAACTCAAAGAACACCAAAATAATGAGACAAATTGAAACAGGAATCAATTTAAATGTTATGAATAAAAAGCTTAGAAAATGGACCACACGTTAAATCCAAGGAAATTCTAGCTTAAACTTATAAATGGGAATAAAAATGAGACGGTGCTGAGCTTTGGAAAAATATATTCTTTGTTCATTATGTTAGATCATATTGACTAGAAATAAACTATCCAATTATAGATTTAAGTATGAAACGACAGCAATAGAAGAAAGACATAACTTTAATCTAACAAAATGCTTTCCCTCTCCAAAAAATGTCAAAATAGATCAAATAACATGCATCCATTAAGCATGCAATATGTAAAGTCGTTTTAGATTACGATGTATAGGTTGACAAATGTTGGTTGGACGGTGGGAAAGAATTCTCTTTATACAAGTTAGATACTAAGACAGAACCAAACAATTATAATTGTTCTTAAGACTTTATTTGGGGGTTTTGCCTATGCACGGCATGATTCAGAATCAAACTAATAACGGAATAGAGATTTATCTTATTACCCACCTGATCTTGGAATGATAATGAAGAAGCTTATGGAACTAATAGAGTTTCCTGGAAGAATTAAGATCTTCTAGGATTGGATAAGAGGGTAGGGTTTTCAAGGATTTCTTTTTTCAGTAAAAAGCTTTCATGCATGCAAATGAAATTATAGATTAAAGTAGAATTCAATATTTAAGGATTTTTTTCTTAACGTAAGCTAATCAACACATTTGCACAAATGACATGCAGAAGTTTTTTTTTTGTTTGGGGGGGGGTGCACATGCCAGCCGATCGAACTAGCACTTTGGCTAGGTGGAACCAAGGGCAGCAGAGGGGTTTAGCCCCCTTTGCCGGGCCTAGGGGAGTTATTATTCATTATGTAAGGAGGAGGAATTAAGGAGTTGTTGTTTATGAAGGTTTCCTAATTGTGTTTATGATGTTAAGGTTTTGAATGTTTAGGAAGGTTTCTTAATTGTATTTATGCTATTTAGGAAGGTTTTAATTATTTAGAAAGATTTCCTAATTGTGTTTATATTGTTTAGGAAGGTTCCAATCATGTTTAATGTGTGTGAGACCTATTTAAGGGAGAGTTTTATCTAGGATTATCATGAGCTATGTGCTGAGTTTATTTTCTAGGGTCTAGTGTAAGTTTACTAGTGGCGGCTAGGGTTTGTGGAAGAGCCTATCTACCTCTCGAGTAGTAAATCAATTATATTCTTCGTTATTGTTGAAGAAGTAATCAAAACTCAAAGCCCATATTTGCATTCCTGCAATTTTCTTCTATCTATCTTGTTGTTTTTACTTCCAAGATGTATCAAATTAATATCAGAGTGAGATTTTGGAGATATAGCAGGAAAGAAGGTGGATGTGTTGGAATGTGAAGTGGAGCAAATCAAATCTGGAATGGAGTTCTCATTTCTCAACCATCGAAGGAAAATTTTGAACCATGGAGAATCGGATAGAGAACCAATTTGGAGGGTTGGAGGAGATGATGAGGAAGCTTGTGGAGATGCAATCCAAAACTCCACTAGTGGTTCCCTTGGCCGAATCTAAGGGAAGGGAGATCGCATGAGAGGAGTTTAACGAGGAGAGCTTCTTTTATAAAGAGCTACCTCCTAGGGATCCAATAAGGGGCGAATCAAGGCTTTCGGATGGGAGGATAGCAAGGAGAGAATTTTGCAGTGGAGGTGGTAGGGCGGCCAACCACTATGGGAGGTATTTCGGGGAAGGGGAGTGGGTGAACAGAGATGGAGAGGGTCGAGCCTAGCCATGGGGATCGAGACATGCAAGGAGGATGGAAGAGAGATGGGATTCCCACTCTCAGTGCACAGGGAGAACAATTAGAGGTAGAGGAAATTGGGGTGAAGATGATAGGGTGAGGAAATTGAAGATGCCAATTTTTGAAGAGGATGAAGCCTATCGATGGGTGTACCGAATGGAGAGGTATTTCGCGGTGAATGGATTGACCAACGAGGAGAAGCTTATGGAAGGGGATTTACATGAGAAATTCTAGTTTGGTTCCAATGGAGGGAGACTAGATATTTGATCCATTCTTGGGAGGAGTTGAAGGATTGCTTTTTGGAGCATTTTCAAGCCATTCGGGGAGGGGATTTACATGAGAAATTCTTTGCCTTGACTCAGGAGGGGACCGTCATGGAGTATAGGGAGAGATTTGAGTTGTTGTCGGGGAGGTTAAGGGGAATTTCGAAGGAGGTGTCAGAGGGAAATTTCATGAAGGGCCTAAAGCATATATAAGCAAACCTCCGATTGTTGAGGCCAAAGGGGTTGAGGGAGACATTGGAGCTAGCCAAGATAGCGGAGGATCGAAGATACATGGAGAGGATTAATAGAAGCAGAGTTAAGGGAGGCTCCTACAAGACTGCCTCGACTTCAGTAGCATTGAGGACCAAGACCATATCATTTCAACGGGAGGCACCGAGGGGGAAGAGCGGCGGAGTTCGTCGTGGGGCCAACTTCAAGTGCCTCCTAGAGGCAGAGGTGCATGATAAGAGAGCGAAGGGGTTTGTGCTTCTGATGTGATGAAAAGTATACACCAAGTCATTGGTGCAAGGACCGTACACTCCAAGCCCTTATAGTTTGTGAGGAGGAGACCGACGGCGAAGAGTTGGAGGAAGCAGAAGCAGGAAGAGAGCACCTACACCTTGATATGGTGGATGTGTCCCTTAACCCAGTGAAAGGATTTACTCCAAATCACACCATAAATGTGAGGGGGCAGGTCATGGAGCAGCCAGTGGTGGTCTTGGTGAATAGTGAGGCTACTCACATCTTCATCTTAAATCAGGTCGTGAATCATTTGAGATTGAAGTTGGTGGATAGAGGGAGCTTTGGAGTCATGATATGGACAGAGAAGGAGTAGTGGGGATTTGCAGAAGGTTGGTACTAACAATCCAAGGCATGCAAATAGTAAAGGATTTTCTTCCCATAGATTTGGAGAGCACTAATGTGATCCTAGGGATGAAGTGGTTACATACAATCAAGGATACAAAGGTGGACTGAAAATCTTTAACAATAAGATTCAGGTGGAGGGTAAGAGGGTGGTGCTGCGAGGAGACGACATCCTATGCAAAACCATGGCCAAGACGATACAAGGAGCAGGGTTGGGCTACTTGGTGGAGCTGTAGAACCTGAAGGAGGTTCGAGATTCAGAGTCAGTCGAGGTCCCTAAGGGTGTACATCAGCTTCTGCAACAGTTTCATGAGGATTTTAGGAGCCTAGCAAATTACCGACAACCAGGGAGCATGAGCACGTCATTACCTTGAAGAAGGGAGCTTTTCCTATCAGTGTCAGACCGTACAGGTACCCGCAAATTCGGAAAGATGAGATACAGGGCAAGGATTATTAGGCCCAATGTGAGCCTCTTTTCCAGCCTAATTTTATTGGTGAGAAAGGACAATAGTTAGAGGTTTTGTGTGGATTATAAGGTCCTAAACAAAAAACTATACTGGACAAGTTTCTTATCCTTGTGATCGATGAGCTGTTCGATGAGCTATTTGCGACGGCCATCTTCTCGAAGATTGACTATAAGTCAGGGTACAACCATATCAGAATGAAGTCGAGGGGATGTGCACAAGATAGCTTTCAAGACCCAACAGGGTCACTATAAGTTTTTGGTGATGCATTTCGGCCCTACCAATGCTCTAGCCACTTTTCATTCCTTCATGAATCAGGGGTTTCAACCCTACCTCAAAAATTCGTCCTAATATTTTTTGACGACATCCTGATATACAACCATATGAAGGCAGAGCATGTGTGTTACCTGAGGAAGGTACTGGAGATTATGAGGGAGCACCAGCTATATTCCAATTTGAAGAAATGTTCCTTTGCATAGCCATAAGTGGAGTAGCTAGGATATGTGGTGAGCAGAGCAGGAGTAGCAACAGACCAATCCAAGATTGAGGCTATGTTGGATTGTCCTTTATCTAAGAGCTTGAAGGAGTTGAGAGGGTTATTGGGCCTCACTGGGTACTACCAGAAGTTTATATGAGGGTATGGCACAATAACATGGCCACTAACAGAGCAGCTGAAGAAAGCCATGACCAGCATGCTAGTATTAGCAGTTCATGACTTCAACATACCATTTGTGGTGGAGATGGATGCATCAAAATATGGACTAAAGATGATGATCACAGGAGATAACAACACTTCAAGCCATGAGACATGATTTACTTAAAGGTGAGACTCTACTGGCAGAAGACACTAAGCCAGAAGGAATGAGAAATTGTCCTCATGCTGTTCTGGAGTGCATTGGAGCAGTGGTCTATCGACTGGGATTACTATCTTAGTCAGCATTGCACCAAGTATTTCATGTCTCACAACTGAGGTGAGAGATAGGAGATCACACACCGTCTTCACTACCCCTGACTTTGACAGAAGACATGGAGGTTATTTTGGAACTCCTAATAGTAAAAGGGGTGCGCTGAGGGGAAACAGAAGCACAAAAGGTACTAATCAAGTGGAAGAATTCGTCGAAATACGAAGCCATATGAGAGTCATAAGAGATGATTAGGAGACAATTCTCATTCTTCCACCTTGAGGATAAGGTGCATCTTTGATGGGGAGTATTAATACATCAAGGGGGTTCCACCATACCAACCCAGACCAGCCCAACTAGACTGGCCTAGGCCAGCCCAACTGACCGGCCTAGCCTTGGTAAAACTAGCCCTTTGGCTGGGTGAAACCAGGGGCATCAGATGGGGAAATTTTGGCCCCCCTTGTGATGCCTAAGGGAGCTATTATTCATTATGTAAGGTGAAGGAATCAAGGGGAGCTATTTAAGAAGGCTTTCTAATTGTGTTTATGCTGTTTAGGAAGATTTTAATTATTTAAGAAGGTTTTCTAATTGTGTTTATGTTGTTTATGAAAGTTTTAATTATTTAGGAAGTTTTCCTAATTGTGTTTATGTTGTTTAGGAAGTTTCTCATTGTATTCAAT